AGTTCTTCCATCAGTTTCTTTTGGGGTGTGCGTACCATCGCTCCAGAAACAATGCGTGCCGCAGGGTACTGAACCTGTTCTATCATGTTGCTGGCGGTGATACTAAATGTTACTGATAAGGATGGAACCATATTCCAGCTTCGTCCGTACAAGGACATTATACACAGAACGTTGCTGAATAGGGTCACTAATCCTAAGCCCAGTCCTTCTGTGTATAATGTCCTTGGTCCGTACTAGTGTAGTATAGGCAATCCCCAAGGCCTCTCGAGAGAGCTTGCGTTGTACTTTACTCAGGAGACCAAGTACTTTGGACGACTTGCTAGTAACAGCTTCGGCATGTTCCTTCCATCGTAGCGTGTAGTGCAAGGTAATCCCGAGGTGAGTATAAGAGGTTACCATCGGGGTTTCAGCAGCGACTCAGCGTACTTCCTGCACAGTTCACACCGTCGTTGGGAAAGTGTGGTTAGGAAGAGTTCAGATAGGGCCGAGCTATAGTTACTGTAGTTCTGTCCAAGAATGATTCTACACGCTCTCCTCTGTACTCTCTCTATTGACTGACATTCAGCAACTGTAAGTCCCGGAAGTTCTCAGAAAAATTTCTTCACAGACACAGGACCGAATTTCATAGATTATTTTACCATCATTCAGTGCAATTAGATAGTAATTGCAAATGATGTGATTAGATGATGATATAATTAGTTATGTACCCGCCATACTGTCACATGGCGTCAATCAGTGGGAGGGGGGGCATTTAGGTTAGCTTACGTTTGCTACTGTCAGTAATTACAGACTTTCTGAAAACTATAAGGACTCTGTCTACTGGACTAAAGGGATACCTGGTATTCATAACTACATGAGAAATTTAGTCTTCCAACAGAAATAAAATGCAGAAACTTACCTATTTCTTATACACAGCTCTCACTGATCATCCAGTGAAGGACGAGCGGCTACGATGACGTAATGTCTAGTTTGCTTGCATGCGGAGAACGCATAGGGGTATATATTACAAAACAACGGCGCGCAGCGGACTATATTAGGAGCAGATTTCCCAAATTCAGTGAATAGAGTACTATAAACCTTGGTGAATATATTGTTTAAATGAACTGTGTATGAAAAATATATAAAAACGGAACTAAAGTGAAGTATAAGAACGCCAGTGTATCCATTACGATCGAAAGCCGCCTGGGGACCCCAAAAGAAAATCAGATATAAAAATTTTAAAAAATAAGGGAAACGGAATTTTCTGCACTGTTTTTAGGGACAACTTTGTGGGTGACAATTACCTGAAATTGAGGAAAAAAATCTTTAGAAACAAAAAAATATTACAGCATATATAGTGCTGGGGTCCGCGCGGACCCCAGGTGAACTGTTTAGGGTTAAACGATAATCTTTTCAGGGTTTTATGTGAAATTACACATCCTTTCTAACATTATCAAAATTCAAGATTGACGATCCAAGATGGCAGATTGTTTGAATATGCATGACGTCATTTTATAACGTCACTGGTGTTGCTATGGGCAACATACGTTATAGTAGACTTTAATATTCTATCATAAACACTTTTTGTTAAACGTGTTGTATATCATTTAGTTTTGCGAGAATAACCTATGTAGATGCTTGTAGACAATAAAATCATATGTATTATTACTAGTACACCATACGATATACCATTCATAGCCCCCCAAGAAAACAGTCTAGATAGAGAAAAGTTGTTTGATCACTTCAGCCGGGATCTGAAAAAAAACAAGTCAAGTACTATGACATGAAAGCGGAATCCACCAGGTGATTGTAATCAGGTCATGTCAATTAATATCCACCGTTCTACACTCTTCAAACACACTGCACACTTCTTGAGCAAAGGACATTTTCAAATTAGTTAATGATTATCCGAAGAACTGACCTGTAGAGACCAATAGGTTGTCAGCAAACGTGACAATGTGAGGGAATGTTGGCGGATATCTAACTTTGCTTGTTCTGTAGATTTCCGTTAGTGGCTCTGGTTTGTTAGCTAATTAGGCTCGTCTATAATGTGGTCAATTGAGCACAAACGTTACAAACATGTAGGTTATGATTAGCGTGCGGGCATGTGTCTGTCAACATAATAACTTGAGGAGGCTTGGTATTTGGTAGTTAGGTAGACCGTGATATTAAGAACTCAAAGTGATTAGATATGGGATCACTTGGTGGCTTGTTCTAATAATGCGTCATTTTATGTTATCTCAGGATGTGGGTGTTAGATAGCTGTTGTTCTCAGGGAGTAGCCTACCTCAGGCTTCGAAAGACGGCTGGAAAGAGTAGAAATTCGGCAAGTAGCGGGATAACATGCCGAGAGAGCTGGTCTGTTAGAGGGTACAAATTACCATCTCCGTCGGCATATTATCTCGATACTTGGCGTGTTTCTACTCTTTCCTCCCGGAGCAAGGTACATGAGAGAGGCTACTTTATTTGAACTCTAATCAACTGTAATATAAGACTTTTCTGAAACAAAAATGTGATGTAACCCCCTAGAAAATATAGAATACAACACGGGGTATTCCGTATCGCCCGAGGTATCGGCCCGACCGCGGGTCGGATCGCCCGCAGGCCGGAGGGCGATCCGACTCGCGGGAGGGCCGGGACCGAGGGCGATGCGGAATACACCGTGTTGTATTTCATTTATGTCATACCCACCCAAGAAAACACGCCTTTCAATGCAAGATGAGCCAAAAGTTGGTGCCACTGAACCCTAAAATGACGTCATGCATATTTAAGCTCTCTGCCATTTTGGATTATCAATCTTGAATTTTCAATTTTTTTTTCAGGATAAAGCCTAAAATACATTGTAAACAGACTAAAGACGTTCATATGAACTTTTTTTGCAAAAAGAAATGGAAGTTTTGATTAAATTTTAAGGAAAATAACCTGTATATACCTGTTTTAATGATATGGTCCGCCATCTTGGATTTTGGACGATGACGTCATCAAATTAGCATAAATTATGCATATTTAATTATAGAATTTATATCGAATTATCTGGGATGTTATTAATGATGTGTCTAGACAAACCCTGTATCACAAACATGATCTGCTCCCACATTTTCCACTGTACAAAAAAGCGAGAAGTTGACCTCTCTATATTAGCTCAGTGACTAGAACACTTTGTATTAGCCTAGTATAGTACCCTTGTATGTTTCTTATGTATGTATGTCCATGGTCCAGTAGTGCATCTTTTGTCTCCAATTTTCCATAGACGTTTGTTTGTCTGTTATATCTTGACCTGTACCTAGCCCGTCGTGGCATGAATGTACAATAAAGGTATTTCAATTTCAATTAATATTAGAAACCATGTGTAACTAGACATAAAACCTATAAAATTCTATTGTTGAAACAAAAAATTACTAAATTTAGCAAAAAATGCCTGTCAGAAACCCGTTGCCATGGCAACACAAAATTTTAATCTTATTCCAATGACATAGAATTGTTGCCAACAATATTCTAGGAAAAGTCACCAAGTTTGGCCGTTCTAGCGCTAGGCGTTCAGACGCTACGTGACATCAAAGTTGGCGCGGGCACTTTTAGCCCCCCCCCCGGTCTAGATAGGGTTAAAAGGGTTTACATTCACCACAAGCAAATGTGATGCTAGGGTCACAATTCACGAATCGTTTGCGGAAAAGTATAAAAAGAGAAAAATACTAATTCACTTTCTGTATCTTCTTGATATGTTGTAAGCACTGTATCGTGATAAGTAATCCCTGAAGTTGGGTGTTTACAAACATGACGTGCATTTACATATTTACATATATTTCAAGGCTGTTATGTATTTACCAGATAAAACCATTCACAGCCGTTATAAATATCCGATTCCTCGTGCGTCCTTTCACATGTGTTTACTTGGGCAGTGCAGGTGACCGGTGAAGGTAAGTTCATATGGCATGTCGCGGGGCTGCCCAAAATTCTGTTATTTTAGGAGTGCATTATCAGAGTGGTATCGTGTGTTAAAAAAAGTTAAAGAGTTTCTTTTAAAGTATACGACACTTACATGTCAGTCCAGGTGCGTTTGTTGTGAGTCCAGTTGTGAGCTTTTGTTGTTTCTGACAACGACATTATATGTACTTGAGCCGTGCGTACACAGCAAAATGGAATCTTCTTTGAAGAAAAGGGGGGCCTTCACCACGCTTTTGTTACTGGTGAAAATATGAAATATTTTCTGAAATATTTTCTTTTCTGGCTATGATAATCGTGATACTGGGTAGGTTTTGGTTATGGTTACATTTGGCACTGTCCCCTCTCTTACAACACAAATGCGTCTCAAATTATTAACTCCATCCATCAGCGACTAAAAGACATTTACATCCAAACCTTCTTTAAAGAAATACACAATGACACCAGAGGTGGTCCTGCTAAAAACAAACTGAGGACCTATAGACTATTCAAGTTGGCCTACAATGAAGAACAGTACCTAAATATCGACAACACACGGCACAAAAACGCCGTCACAAAACTACGGATCAGCTGCCATAAACTACACATTGAGACCGGTCGACATAGCCACACTCCCCTGGAACAACGTATTTGTCGATACTGTAATCTAGATAGAATAGAAGATGAACTTCATTTCGTAGTAGAATGTAGTTTGTGTAACAGTGCGAGAATTGAACTTTATAGACGAATAACATCGATGTTTCCCCACTTTACACACCTAAGTAATACAGACAAATTCACATTTTTAATGAACTTAGACAAACCCTCGATCCTTAAACTTGTATGTTCTTATCTTTTCAACATCACAGAGAAGCGAAGAGAAGTCGAAATTATGTAACAGACTGTAGTGCTAGTACTAGATTGATCTTGTTGTGTATATATTTCAGTATTCAAGTTAACCTTTGTACCTAACCCAGTGGGTATGTTTGTACAATAAAGGTGTTCATTCATTTATTAATCTGCCATCACCCAGACATAGAGTTTGAACGGTCACACAGGAACCTTGTTTATTTGTTCTGCTTTTAAGACATTTAAGAATAGAACATACACCTGTCAGAGCTCCACGGTTGTTTTTCGGACCAAACTGCAAACATCGAGACCTTATAAAAGTCGCTTTCGCTCGACTGAGTTACAGTCATCTAAAGACAGGCTACACGAACAAGTTCCTTCTATTCTCTCATCGACGAAGTTTCATCATGAAGACCGCCATACTGCTCTTTGTGCTGGGACTTGTATTGGCTGACGGTATGTCTATATATCTACCACATGTTTCCTTTTGATTTGCTCTCTGTGCCCTGCATGTTATGATGTTTCCTTTTGTTGGTGTCTCACATGGGCTGGGCGGCAGGTAGTCGCATGGCACGTTAATAAATGTAAAAAAAGGAACTGGTTCTCCATGGTACTGAAGCGAAAGTTAAGGTTTTGATATCTGGTGCCCTGAAGCTGCAACGAAAATTGACTTTTACCTGCTACTGTTTGAAACCAAAAGAACAAACCACATAGGGTCTGGATGATAACATTTTGATCTATTCCAGCCTCCGTGCTTCCCTTGAGACGTGTCAAGGGAAAGTCGACTGGTTTGGAAAGGGCAATTCAGTGCCCAACAGGTGCACAGTGCTACTCCGGCAACTGTGCTTCCCAAATATCTGGAGGGGGCCAAACCCTGTGCTGCTGTGGCGGTGCAAGTATGCATATCCATGGTGATCTCGACTTCACCAATCCATACTGGCTTCAGCAAATCCAATGTACCTGCAACTATTAAAAGCTCTTCGACGGGGTATGCTATTAACCTATATGTATAAGATGTATGTTATGCTTCGGTCCCAATTGTAAAAAGGGCCCCAACGAGTAGTTCCCCGGTTGTGTTTGGTGCGGCCCCGCGGGACACCCTGCGATGCAGTTCCCGGGCTAGTTTTTTGCCCTGCCAGGACCCGAGAAGAGTTAAATTATGACTTAAGCTCTATCCGCTGACAAAAAAAAAAAACAACGTCGTTTGCCGGCAGTCCACCGGGACAATTTTTGTACGTCACAGACCAGCCTGTGACCGGCCGGAGCTACATCCCACACGGGCAGCTACGCAATTGGGACCGAAGCATTTATACGAATGCAAAATTTTTATATCATTATTTGGTTTTGATATTCCAAGCTAGTATTTGATTAGCTATCCTAGATAGCCAATTATCAACCAGTTTTTTCTTCATCCTTACAGATTCCAATCAAAGGCACGTCGAATTCGAAGCAATTGATACCTGGACGTTTCTCAACACAGGCCGTCGACGTCAGTATATGCTTTATGGTGATGAATATTAATAAATTCACCTAAACTTAATTTCGTTGTGTTTTTGTATCAATACTGTATACATTCTTATTTAGGTTTTGCCTGGCGTAGACTAACATCATCCACATCACGCAATACCTGTTAACATTTTGTTATTGTAAATCTATTAACGAAATGTTGTAAGAGGGTCTTAAACCTATCTTTGACTGCTTTCAGTGGCAGTAAACATTTTAGATAAAAAGCAATTATGTTACTATAGTTTGTGCCATCCCCCGTAGTATTCGCCAGCTCCCTAATGTCGCTAGCTACCACTGGGTCTGGACTTGATGACTTATGTACCGTCTGGTGATGACGTTACGTAATGAGCTAGCCCGAGCAGCGGGGCTACATTTGGTTTGAGCCTCATGGGCGACGGCCAATGGCGGGCCTCCATTATTCATGTGGCTTTGTTGTTATGTAAACACAGATTTTCAAAGTGTGCCTTTTCTCGGTGCGTTCTATTTTTAACAGGCCCTTCCACCAGTCGATAGGATGCCCAAAACATCTTTTCCGCGAACGAAATTTGAACGACGATATGCCGTCTAAATTTCGTCTCCACCAGAATTCTTTTGCGGGGTGAATAAATCGTAGAAATCGGCCTGAAAAGGGTATTAATTGGCCAGAGAAGATAGCCGGTCAGAGAAGCTCCATTTCGGGGAAATGGACCTTCTCTGACCGGCTATCTTCTCTGGCCAATTAATACCCTTTTCAGGCCGATTTATTCTCCCCGCAAAAGAATTCTGGTGGAGACTAGTCTAAATCGTCCAAATCAAGCTCCGAGAGCTCAGCTTGTGCGTCAGCCATGTTGACGATCTGTACACTGACTACGGCTTTATCAAGCACTCGTTAGCGTTCGGTTCGGCGTCGGAGATGTTGATGATAATAAGATAAGAATATATCTTAACGTCCGAACGGCCCTTATCTAATATGTACACACCCAAAAAGGGGCTTATAGGAGTAGGACCAATCAGCGCGCTCGTCCAAAATCTGAACGAATATCCAGACTCCAGACGTTTCATATGTCATCAAGTCCAGACCTAGTGGTAAGCTAGCGACATTAGGGAGCGGGCGAATACTACGGGGGATGGCACTAAGGCTAGGACACAGCGGCTGTTCGCAGTGAAAACGTCCGTAGCTGCGTTCTACTCAGGAACGGAACACAGACACATGGTTTCAAGATATCCGGTGTTTCCTTTATTTTCCACCTTATATACATGTTTCCTGAATATAATAAAAACAATGATTTTTTTTGGAAATTGTATTTCTCCTTATGTAGATAGTGCCAAAAATATATGTGCACAACAATATCAAAAATACGCAAAGACCATTCTATATAACCGCATATCTTTACATCTTGAGGAGCATCAACATAGTGCTCCTTGTGTAAAATCATCCAGACCTCATTAAAATACCCTTAACACATGATTGTGTATAGTATGGAACATTTTGCAAGATTGTCAAATACCGTAAGGAAAACCTTTCTATATACAGCCATAGGAATTACAATTCTTACCTCTCAAGAGAAAACAACCAAAGTGCAAACAAACTGTTAAAAGTCACAAACCACAAAAAAATAATGTATACTTTCCATAATTATATACCCCGTTCATTATTTATATAAACCTTCTACAGAAAATGGCACAAGTAGCATTTCCCCTATCTCAAATTCTAACACAGGATAAAACAAATAATAAATCATCTAGGATATTTGGTGCATTGAAGGCACAACAAGGTAAAAGGCAACTGGTTGTCTGACACCAGGGTGCCATACAGTTAGAGTCTCTTACGGTAACGGCAAGGTTTTAAAGAAGTTCAATTTTAGTACGATTTTAACGTCAACGTTGTAGTCAGACGTCCTTGCTGTTACATCCATGCAGAACCGTGCACTATCCAGAATCACGAACAGGCAAAGTTCTGGATAGTTCACGGGTACATCCAGAACCGTGCAAGAGACAAATCTACGTGCTTCGATACGCGGAGACTATCCAGAACCGTGCCTAACCCTAACCCGTTCAGGTATAGAACTAGATAGATACAATAGAGAGTATCAAGAAACGTGCCTGGTCCTATCACTGAGTGGGCAACCCTGTACAAATATGATGAAAAAAACCTAGCCCATTCAGGTTTAGAACTAGATATGGCCGTTCTGGATACGAAAGACTATCCAGAACCGTGCCTGATCCTAACCCTAACGCTAACCTATGCAGGCATAGAACTAGATATGCACAATAGTGAATATCCAGAACCGTGCCTAACCCTAACACATTCAGGCATAGAACTAGCTAGATGGGCACGGTTCTGGACACGATAATAGCTCCAAATTACGGTTTCCAGACGGCGAGGACTAACGCCGCGATGCAGACGAGCATGGCCGGAGCCAGA